ATCCTCTTTTAAACTTCCTCCTCTCCTCTCTTTTTCGTCAGCCTGGCTGCTTTGGGCACAGAGCCAAACACCCCACTGTCTCTCAGTGGGTGACATCACTAGTTGGCACAGAAAAGCAGGGGCGGAATAATTAGGTTTAGATAGCTGAAGTTAATGTCTGTGTGTGTATATGTGCAGGGTGAGAGTGTGTGTAGGTGCTGATGTAGAGAAGAATTTGCTTCACTCAACGTGAGGCACGTAGATGATTGAGTCAGTAATCAAATGCAAACCAATGTCGATGGTGCAGCTTTCAATGAAAAGAATCAAGCTAAATAAAGCAGCATTATGCTGTTTACATGAACCGATGTTCATGTCTTCAAACAATCTACCCCTACTAAGTCTTGTGTCAAAATGAAGACATAAATGAACTCCTTAACTGTGTTTGCAGTTAAATGTGAGGGTAGCTGATGAAAAGCTGGAGGCACTGCTTTAATAACTCTCTATAGACTCTATACATGACCACCCCGGCAAAGCCCATCCGTTCACTTCTCTTCATGCTATATATGCAGCCTACTTAGGATGAAGCCTTTGTTAGGACGACGCGCTTTGTCAGTCTCCATTTAGTGGCTTTTTTTTTTACAACAGACTCAGTCCTTTGAATATTAACTGTGTGATCACTCTTGCCACACAAGCAGTCACTCAAGACCTCCTATCAATGCAACACTCTGTTCCAGGGCTCTGTGCCCAACCACATCTTGGTATTAAGAGCAGTAACACTGCTGTCAACTGGAATTTATTGTCAACTTCTTTTCTGACTACATTTATGGAGATTTTGGTTAACTTCACTATGGGGAAATCTTAACCAGGGTTTGTCAGGCATATCACAAAATGATAAATATGAATATGAAGAGGAAATGAAGGCAACGAGTGTTGTTATGCATCACTGTACCATTGTCCACCCCTAGTGGAGTGTGACTTTAGGTCTGGCCGGTGTAATGACCGTGGCAGCTGTAGTCATAAGGTGACATAGCTGGGAGAGTCTGCCCTCATGTTTTTTCAGGCCAACAGTTAACTTTATTGAGCCTCAGGAAATCCTAATTGGATTCGGAAGTGGCCTCAGTAGCCAGATGTGCAAAGACTAACAAAGTCAACCCAACCCCCAAGGACAAGTGACCACAAGCACCTCTGACTCCGGTATACCCTGCTGAGTTCAACTGAAACACACACACCCTCAAAATATGCGAGGCTATCTCCCCACAACCTGGGGGAAGTTAGCTCATAAAAAAACAACAGGCACTCTCGTGCACACATGCACTCGAATTCTAAAAATGCAGTGATTGCAGACAGTGGGGTAAAGATAGCACATCAGCTGTGCACAGTCCATGGTGAAAACAAAACAAGTTGGAACTCAGCTGTGGCTTTCGTCTGCTCTCTCAATCAATCAGGTTGTAAGAAACTACAGTCAGTGTTGCAAAAGTAAAAAAAATAATAATTTCAAGGTGATAAAGAGGAGTCTTAAGGATGCTTGTTATGCAGGTGAAATCTAGTGTTGTCTAACCTTCTGTTGTATGCACTCAAACAATTAGATACATTTACTCATTTAAAATTAATGGTTAGGGTGTGATCAAACTTGGAGTCCAAGTTCTCATGCAAAGTTGTCTGTGTATAACTATTCATGCATGAGAAAATGTAGTGTCTGTGTTGCCTGGCTTTCGCTGTCAGTCCTTATCAGGCGGTCTGAACAAAGCCAGAGATCCTTGTCAGCTTGTTCTGGTTAACCGCACATGATCTGAGTGCAGCTGGGAAACCAAGAAAGATCTGAGGAAGCTGGCTTTGATTTGGAATACCTCCCCGGACCTGCTGTCTCTGTCTGGAATCAGACCCAGGTGTTTGTGCATGCATGCTGTCTTCTCATGCACACGCACACACGCTAAGTCAATGCATGTGTTAAAACCTCCTGCTGAGCCACAGTCACACTGACCTATTTACTCCACCATGGAAATGGTCAAGACCCAGGAGGCAGACCAGACTCACCAGAGGCAGAATAATGCCAAAGCTGTCACTGGGTGATATCAATAGTTTCAATAGGAACATTTTTACTGTCTCTTTTACACACTATTTAAATGGGACACTTGGCTGAAAAGGATCAATTGTATCGATGTTTTTACATCCGCATTCATTTCTGAACCATGAAAAAGCCAATTGTAGCAGGGTCACTGTCCAGAATTTGATCAGCGCATCAAAAGGACTTTCTGAAACAAATTCTTGTGTAATTCTGGCTGCGTGTGAGCACTCATGTTTACTTAGGCTTATACGTCTATAACGTTTGTGGCAGCCTTCAACTTAATGCAACCCCTCTGTGACTTCAAAGTGAGATTAAGAGGGAGAGACGTGGAATGGCTCTGCTTGCTGCATGGGTGCATGGCTGCAACTTCTACACTGAACTCAGGGTTGAGCAGCCAGGCAGTTGGCACCATGAACTCATGTGTTATGTCTTATTTTTCCATTCATGAATGCATGAATAAATAAATAAATCAGGTTCAGAAATAAAAAAGTGAACAAACTAAGTGTTCATATTGTTTTAGATTTGCAATTTTTTTTTACAAAAATTACTGTATATACTTCATAAATGCAGGCATGATCTGTAGAATTGTGCAGGGTGGTTCAAGCCATTTATGAACTAGAGCTGCTGTCTCTCAATAGAGGCATTTCCTTGTATTCTGAGAAGTGCACTGTACTGTGAGAAGTGAGTGATTGAATAGAAAGTGAAGTTTCCTGAGTGAAGTTTATTCTGGCATGGTACGCCATGCCATGCCCCACAGCTCACACACAATAAAAGACAGATCTTTCAGGTCATAACCGGCTAATTAGTACTGCCGAAGATGTGTTGAGGGCCTCTCAGCGTGGTCTGTAAATGGGGCTACCTGAGCAGCACTCGGGAGCACCAGCTGACATGGGCCAGCAGTGCTCCATCACCTTATGAAAGGTCAGTGTTATGGCTCTGCATCCCAGCACTATGGTCATTTCAGCACCCCGAGGGGACTTCTGGCTTCTTGGCTTTCACCCATGTGTCATTCTTTGTTCAGGGTGGAGATACAGACACAATTTCCCATGTCTGATAGCCATCTGCTCCCTCTCTCAGGTTCTCCTCGAAGCATGATCAAGGCCCTCTGCACCAGTCACAGATCAGAGTCCTGCCCACTGTGATGATTAGTCTGAAATAGATACATATCAAGTATATTTGGGTAGTTTCTGGTGTTGGACAACCTTTCATCTCCGATATTAACAGGAATTCAAACGTCACAAAATCCCCGTGAAAGATATTAAAACAATTTCCTGTCAAGATTTAAAAGAGGAGACACAAATTTCAGGTGCATCCTGCTGGTTTTCTTCAGGATCTTCAGTTTTCTTCACATCCTTTTAACCTGAAAAGCATTCGGTAAGTTCAGCCAAGTTATGACATCTTTCAAGTCCAAAAACAAAAAAAAATAAATAAAACATTGGAGCTGACCCAGGAGGAGTGTTCGTGTCCCACCTGAAAACCCTCATTCCGCCCATGGGAAAACTGGGAGGATACAATAGAGGCATATCAACGTGTGCGCGCGCCCGCGCGTTCCCGTCTAACAGTGTGGAAGTTTCCCTGCAAGTTGAGGAGAACAAGAAACTGCAGCAAATGGAGCGATACAAGTTACGGGGTTAAAGAAGTTGTGTAAATATATTAAGTTTGGACCTTTTATTGTAGCTTTTAGACTCGTCCCTGTGGAGAAGTGGGATCGTCACGGCAGGTAAGAGAAACAGCCGGACTTGCCAAGCATTTTGTTATCTTTAAATTGAACTGTTGCTGCTTTAAATATAATAGGATAATCCACATTATCACCTTTACAAAGTCCCAGAGTTTTAAGATCCTCCTTATCTTACATTAAATTGCAACGTGACAAATTATGTGAAACCTTTTAAATCTCTGGTAAATTAATCGTAAATTATATGTATAGATGAATATTTTGCCTTTTTATTCGTCTGACATCGCAGTTTTACCTAGACCTGTCATTCCAATGACGGCGTCTCAAGCAGCACTATTTTACAACTACATTTTCACTTTTTAAGATAAAGATCTGTGAAATGATGGAGCCTGTAGCGCAGGCTGTGTTTTTTGTGGCGCGCTCATGCGGCTCTCCGTGGAACAACCAGGCAGCCAAGCGCATCCCTGCATTGGGTTCTCAAATGTTGTGACTCACGCAGACTACGCGAAAGAGGGCGAGAACATTTGTTCTGGCCAAGTCTAGGACCAAAGCAGTGTGATGATTACAGAGTTTTCCTTGCAGCAGACTTATGAAACCTCTGACTCATCCTCAGAAACATTGTTAATCTGCCTAAAACCTGCTGCTGCAAGTGTGTTCAGCCGGTTTTCACATGTTAACCTCCCTTAACGAAGAGGGGATGGTTTAAATACGTGATCTCTGAGGCTTCAGACCATTCATTTCTCAGCTTTGTGGTTAAATGTGAGTCTTACTTTGCCTGTGGTGTCAACGTCATTTGTAATTAGAAGGGAAAGGGCAAGGGAGGTGTGTGCTCGTGCAGTGTGGAGATGCTGAACAGGATGGGACAAGCTGTTCAAACAGCCCACATATGGGGAGACCATATCTTGCCAAGCAAATTGTTTTCCAGAAATGCCTTGAACCTCTACTGGAAGTTGAATCACAGGTTAGATTTTTCTGTCTGGGCCATTCGTGCGCTAAAGTTGCGTTAAGAATGACTTTTGAAAGAAGTCCTGGTGTCAGATGACTCACAAGCCAGAGCTGGAGCTGACTGATTGGCATGTTGTTGCCACTCTGGAATAGCTCAAATTACCTAATAAAAAAAATGTCTAAGAGAGGAATTGTTTTCTGTTGTTTCGCTTCCTAGACTCACGGATCGAACTTTGAACAAGAGGACGCTGGAAACCTGAGAAACCGTCAGTGGAGCAGAGCAGCAGAGCCTGTTCACCCGCTGTAACCCCACCCTCTAACAACCAGACAGGCTCTATGCACATCAACCTGACTGTGGCCGTCAAGGAATCTCGTGCCTTTCATGGAACTCAGCCTGCCAATCGAGTTATTACCCCTGATGCTGAGGAAGTGACAGCCATGGAGCCAGGTCAGGTGCAGGTCGCCCCACTGCTACCCCCGCCCCCTCCTCCCCCTCCACCCCCACCCCCCCCTGCGTCCTGCTCACCTTTTAGCCGGTTGGACTGTGCTCGCCGGAGCCGACTGAGGAAGCTGAACTGGGACTCTATCCCCAAAGAGAAGGTAGAGGGGAGAAAGAGCGTGTGGAGTGGGGCGGCCCCTGGCGAAGATGAGTTCCCCATAGATCTCCATTCATTAGATGAGCTGTTTGGTCAGAAGGACAGCAAGCCAAAGGACAGAACGAGCACTCTGAGGCGGCGGTCAGCACGCCTGCACTGCAGAGCCCCACAAGACAGCCCAGAGGAGGTCAGATCATTCATATACAAAAGATGCAAGATTTATCTTCCTTTTACATGCCCTTACATATTCTCTGTCCCTTTGCAGATTTCCCTGTTGGACTCTAAACGGAGTATGAACATTGGAATATTTCTACGCCAGTTCAAGATGTAAGCCTCTTAATTCCTTATTAATGGTGTAGTCAATGTTAAAGTGTAACATCTGCAATGTCATGCTCTTTCAAGAGTCAAACAGGGACTTTTCTGACCATTTTTACTCTGCAAAGACCTACTGTTTTTCATTAGGAGTAATCATTAGCTGTATCTGTATCCCTGCTGCTCCTAGCTGCACTCTGTCTTCCTCAGGATTTTTACCAGTGTTTCACCAAATCACTTAAAGTTGAAATTCAGTTTTGTGACAGCTAATTCAAATGTACCCAAAAGGAACAATGGTTTGCTTGAGTTAAACTTTAATGTGGCCATATGTCAATATGGCTGATGGTAAGAAGTGTGAAGCCCCATCAGGAGAAGGGGATTTGGGGAGGTGCACTCTGAGCAGCTGGGCTGGGTTTTGAGGGTGGGTGATGAGTAAGTGGCTCTTAAGTAGTCAGAGTTGACACCTGCTGATGCCTATAAAGAGTGTCTAATCTTGAAGTTACCCCCCGCTGAGAGAGACCCCACCGGTGGCTTGTCATATTCATTCATCCCCTAAAGCTTCTTTAGTGGACTATGTTTGCCTGGTGCAAATAAAGCTGCACTTATTGTTATGAAAGTAGATTTCTTTCTGTTAATTTGGTTGTATTGCCATGCTGTTTAACAACTTAAATTAACATTTTGTGTTTAAGAACATGCAAGATCTATGCAAAGTGTTACATAAAGTAGGGATTTGCAGCACTGCTGGGTTGCAGTAACGTCATGCCACAGTGGAAATTCTCAACTGCAAATGGTTTTCTTTGCAGACCAGATTTGTCTAGACTTGCATGGAAAGCCATTGTTTGAAAAGATCATCTTCTGCGCTCAAACATTTGTCTCTTTTGGCACTGGTCTGCAGTCTGTTGTAATGAGCTACCGTTTAAATGTGGGTGTAGAATAAACAAAATCCAGTTTTGTGTTCTCTTTGTCAAAGTTGAGACCGATGTATCATTCTATTTAGTCATCTTTACACGCCATTACATTTCTGTTTTGAAGGAAAGGCCCAAGAATAAATAATTTAGGAGATGATTTATTTACTTTACCTGCCTTTATGTTGGTGTTAAATGATGAGATGTGGATGGCTAGCTTGAAAGAGGACACTTTGTTTAAGGATAAAGACTGTTAGCTTTGGTATAATCATGTGTGGCAGGCTGCAAGATGAATTTGGAGGGCAGAGGATGATGAAAAATGGCTGGAATTGAGAACTCATTTGTCATAGTCTAGGTTTCACTGTGTGAACTGCTTCTGCTCTTTCACTTTGACATCCCTCGTTCCTTCAAGTGTTGCTTGTCTGCCTTCTGTCTGCCCTCTAAATCACTAGTGTTGCTTCTTTTTACCCTCCGTCCATGACACTTTGGCTTGATGTGAATAGGATATGCTTTCATTTCTTGTGGTCATTGTAAAAATAAGTCTTTAAGGTTTTTCATGATGGTGATTCCAGATTGGGAAATGATGCAGTCTGAAAACACACAGATGTATTTCCACAGGCCTGCTCAGGAGATCGTTGAAGATGTTCGACATGGTGCTGGAGAACGTTACGGAGCAGAGAAGCTCACAGAACTCTGCAAACTGCTGCCTGACAGAGAGGAGGTAAAGTGCTCTTACAATGACAAGTCCCCTTAACCCAACCCCCAGCTCTCAAGCTGTCCCCTGTTTCTCTTAGCCATCATCTGGCTGTGGTTAGTATGATCAAAGTTAACATTACGCCATTTTGTATGTAGTGATCGGTCTCCAGAAAAGGAGGCCATTGAAATGTATCAGAACTCTTAACAGCCACGCTGGTCTTTAGATTCCTGTTTTATATTTAATGAAAGCTGTTTATCAGCTTTTACTCATTGTCTGCTCTCTCTCAGGAGTCTCGCCTTAGGAGGTTCAGCGGGGAGCGGAGCTGCCTAGAAGAGCCTGATCTTTTCATGCTGCTGCTGGTGGAAGTCCCCAGGTAAACTCTTAAAAATGAAAGAGGAACAAATATATCCCAACTGACTCCCATTCAAATTTGAATGTAGCTTTCTCTTTCTTTTTTCCACATAACGTTACCCCTCTTCATTTCTTACATGGCGTTTGTTTAACAAATGACTTATCTTGAGCGCCCTTCAGTCTTCATTAACACTCGAACATTCCGCTTGATCGATCCATCTCTGTTTGTCTGTCACCAGTTTTCGACTTCGTTTGGACGCAATGATCCTGCAACAGGAGTTTGACCCAGCTGTGACCTCTCTGTGTGTGGCAGCCAGATGTCTGAGGGAGGCAGCCCGAGGTAAAGTAACAGCAGGGTGTTGTGTACTCCACAACCTTTAAAGATGTGGAACTGTGCTGGCCTGCTAGAATGCCCATATTTAGTCTGATGCAGTAATGTCAGGTGGCAGAAGGAAAATTAGGAAGCGTATTAACCTTTTAGGATGTTCAATACTTATTGAATAAAAAAGAACACAATAAATTACATTTTTATCTGTAGAAGAGTCTGACTTGTTTAATTTCCTTGTTATGTGCTGTATTGAAATTCATCCCCAAAAGCTTGCTGTTAATCTCAACACTAATTTCTTTACTGTCTTAGAGTTGCTGAGCTGCCCAGAATTACATTCCATCCTCCGTTTGGTGCTGAAAGCAGGGAACTACATGAATGCAGTAAGTGCCTTTTTGGTGTGCAAAAGGCAAATCAGTTCTGTTTACTGTGTTCGGCTCACCATTGAAGAGTGTTTTGGGTGTGTGTTCAGGGGCGTCACTCTGGCTCTCCTTCTGGGTTTTGATTCAGTGTTTGTTTGAAGTTGTCACATGTGTGTATTCTGAACCCTCTGCATGACTTCTTAGGGTGGATATGCTGGGAATGCTGCTGGTTTTCGAATTTCATCACTACTCAAACTGGCTGACACTAAAGCAAACAAGCCAGGCATGAATTTGCTGCATTATGTTGCTATGGTAAGATCCTAAACGTAGATGTAGTTTTAATGGAAAGATCAAATAGTTAATGTGAAATATTTGTCATGAATGGTGGTTGGTGTCTTTGAAATTATTTTGAGAGGGACATCTCTCTCATTTTGAAGTTTATTAAAGATGTAGTGTGCCAGTGCGATGACCACATAACCTCTGGTTTAAGGATTACCATATTTACCAGCTTTGCACTGTTTATTTTTTGGAATGAGTCTCTTTTGACAACTAAAGAACAACTCCTATGTTGTTCACACTCAAAAAACAAACTGGAGCATTCTGAGCGAAACGGTTTCGCATAGGATAAACTGTACTGGTTGAGTAAACAGGTACTAAATCTTATTGCTGATTTCTGGGCTTTGCTTCTTCATCAAGAAGAAGCAGACTTTGGGCCTACCACTTGTGCTGGTGCAATAGGAAATATGTTTGCTGAGCAGAATGAAGCAGAAGTCTATAAAGTTAACCTGAGCGATGTCACGTTGATTAAGCTGTTGGAAAGAAGGATTGTGAAGGAATTATATTAACATTGTGTCCTTCCATTACTCCAGTGACATGCATATATTGTTTAAATAAGTTAATATATTCATACAATTTCTTAAAAGGTTGTATCTACAAAGTGGAAAGGTGGTGACACTGATGAAAAAAATGCACAGGGAAAATGTACTTATTGTCAACACCATTTTTCCAGGGACGAATAGTTTCCGTGAACGAACTCATAGCTGGGAGACAGAAGAAGAATGCCCCATAGAGTGGAAGTTTTTGTCAGCATTAGCAAATGATGTGTATCTTCATTTCAGACAATAGCTTCATAATCGTTTGTGTTTGTCTCCACAGGAAGCTGTGAAAAAAGACCACAGTTTACTCTCATTTCCCAGCCAACTAGGCCACATTGGCTCCGCCTCCAGGTCAGTCTTTTCCCAAAAATTGGATCTTATCAGATCTGACCATGATTATGTCTGAGGCAATATCCATGATCATCATAGTAACAGCAGTGCCACTTATAGTCTACTAAAACAGTGAAATCTCTTTTACTTTTAATGACACCAAACTTCAGTTGCCAGTTATGATTAGCTAAGTGAAAGTAGGTTAAGAAAACTCTGCTTGTGAATAACTTTTTTCATTATATACCAAGTTCCAAGGAAAATCGTGTTTTTACAAGAATTCTCAATGTGACCCAGTTTCATTTTCCAAGGACTGTTAGATGCTTTGAATCCTGCTGTTTGTTACATTGTCCTAATTCAGAGGTATAACCATTCTGTTTGGAGACACTACCCATCATAATTGCATTTCTCTGCAGGTTGTGTGAGGAGGCCGTACTGGATGACTTATCAAAGTTAAAAAACCGAGTTGCTGCCCTCAAGACAAACACACAGAGTGAAGCAGAGATTCGGCAGCAAACACAACATTTTCAGGAGGTAAACAACGCAGTTTTATGTGTAACCGTGAGTTAAAGTTTGTCAGGCAGTCTGATTAAGAATACAGCTAGGGTTTGAGCATTTTTTCTATCTGTTTGCAGAGGGCTGAAGATCGACTGAGGGAGGCAGACGATGAGGTAGAGGGTATGAGGATGTCGAGTCAGGCTCTGGTGGAGTTCTTCTGTGAGGATGACAGCACTTTCAAACTAGAGGAGGCTTGTCGGGTCTTCCATTTGTTTTGCCATCGCTTCCAAAGAGCTGTCCAGGTTAGACATTTTTATAAAAGATCAGGTTTAACTGCTTCATGGATCACTATCAAATAACTAAATATCCTCTTTCTGCCTTTTTTTTTAAAGGAAAATGAGGAACGTGAGGTAAAGGAGCAAAAGCGTCTTGAACGTCAGCATGAGATGGTGAAAAAACGTCGATCTCTGGCTGTGTGCACTGGGCTGGATCTGGGATTGAGTCTTGCTAGAGAGCCGCACAATCAGGAGAACCAGGATGAGCTTGAGAAACTTCTAGAGACGAACTTGAGCCATACTTGGAGTCGTCGCAGTCTGAGAAGCCCTGGTTCCCGCAGATTCTCCTACCATCCCCAAATCGACACCTGTCTCCACAACTCGTCCACTTTGAAGAGTTTTCCGGTGTTGGGCAGCAGCCCGACATCAACCGGCTACCACTTAAACAGCTCCTCTGACCATGAGACCAGTGCTGCACTCTGCAGCTCGCCAGAGACTGATGGCACATGCTATCCTATTGACCAAGAAGCTGTTTTGGTGAGAGAGAGCAGAGCTACAAACCTGAGGATGGAAGTAGTTAAGGACTCACACATTGCAATATTTAGATCCTCTCAGCATGAAAGTGGCTTCACACTGAAACAATATGGGAAGCAGAGTATTTCCTACATGCTACAAAGCCAACCGGAGGCTAAAGGATTTGAAAAAGAGTTTTCCGAACACCTGGCGTTGAACGGTTCAAGAACACACTCTGCTGCTATAAATACTGAGGAACCAGCCCACGGTGTTAAAAGCAAAGCTCCAGTTTACAAACATAGATTTGGCCGGCCAGAGACAAGCAAAAATTGTCCTCCTCAAAGTAAAACTGAAAACCCTTGTGCTAGTGATGCTATACACGAGTCCATTCATACAATGTCTATTCAGAGAAGTGGAATACCTTCCCATGATACCAAAACTGGACACTTGAAACTATCGAGATCTGGGACCAAATCTCAATCGTCTCCCGAGGAAATTCAGTCACTGCCGCAAACAAAAGACATTACATCCACTGAAGCAGAAGCTTTGATGCCCTTGCCTGATGCAGCTTCAACGGTAGAGACAAACTCTCAAGTTGTTTCCACACCTGTGGAAAACAGCTGGATGCCGTCCAGTCTGCCAGAGTTCAGCCAGTCGCAGCCACAAGAGGCCCCTGAAATACCAGCTGCTGAGAGGGAGCTGGCGAGGTCAGTCCTGCGCGTAGGTGAAACGCTGGAGTGCCACACTCTGGTGAAAGGCCTCCGATCTTACGAGACCATGTCACCTCCGACCTCCCCGCTTCCTCGACCCGCGCCGAGCCTCTGCTCCAAGTGGAAGAAGGAGAGGGAGGCCGAACTTCGAGATGGAGCTACTCCACTGTCTCCGGCATCAAAGGAGGAGGCTCAAGTCTTGAGGATCCCCGTACGCAGTGGAATAGGAGCCAAGAGGGGACTCATGTCGCGTGCAGCTCCTTCCAGTAGCACAGGCATTCCCAGGGTGCGCTCTAAAACGGATCAGTCGAATAGCGTCTCACTTCCTGCAAACCCGCCGACGCCTGCACGGCAGTCGATTCCTCGCAGTGTGTCGATGCGCTCGTCTCCCTCCGCACGGCCGAATGTTGCTCAGGCCGACGTGAAGCGCAGCAGCAGCACGCGGGAAAAAACAGCGAGCGAGTCGAAGATTCCAGGAAAGTCCGCCTTGACACGCAGGACCTCAGATGGAGCTGTACAGACAGAGAGGGTCCCAGGCAGCAATCAGCCTGCCTTTGTACGAGGGACCCCCGTCCGAGTTTCCAAACGTCTGGCCCCAAATTCAGAGAGCCAGGTTCTCTCCCCGCCTCGAAGCGCCCACAGCCCATCCTCTGCCACAGCTAAGACTATACGCACCGCTGTCATATCGGCAGCCCAGCATAAAACCGCCAAGACGACAAACACAAACACTTCACCTGCCAACTCTAAAAATGCAGCACCTTCAAGGATACCTGGTCCCAGGGTGACTCGAGCTGCTGCCACTCAGCCACTGTGGAGGTGATATAAGACCTGCTTCATGGACTATGCTAAGATTTCTCATGCATTCATTGATCTTTGATCTTTTTCATTCCTAAATTAAAATGTAGTTCAAATCAATTCTACTTCAATGAAATATATGTATAGTTTAGTGCGTGGATTCTATATATATGTTCAATGAAGCTGCACTAAGAGAATCTGGGAAACTTTATGTGCTGGGAATAGTGGATCCTCTACAATCTACCTCTTTTTACACCTATGTGTGTCCTTTGCAGGCAATAGGGCAGCAAAAGATTTGTCTTACAGTCACCTTTGATATGTAGAACAGTGTGACACCTAAAACATCCTACCAATTGGATGCCACATGAACTATATGTTTGAAAAAAAAAGTAGATTTGCTTGATTCATTTTTGTTTTCATTAAAACATTTTCATATAGTTGTCCAAATGTTCCCACTGTAGCCCTTCCTCTTAACCACCAGTGTTTTCAAACTGAACTTGGTACATCATGGAGCTGTTCATCCTGTTGCACTTTAAAAACTGAAGAGGAGGCTGAACGTATATGATTGTTTCAATCATGTCTTTTTTATTTGATAGAATTTCTATAACTTTATTGAATAGAATTATTGACTTTATTATGTTAATTTGTTTAAAAAAGTATAAATAAAGAAAAAATTGTCATATATCCTTGGTTACATTTAAACATTTCCATATTACATTCTTAGGGAGCTTTTGCTTTAATAGACTCAACTCAATATTGACAGCCGCTCAAGGTGTCTTCTTGTCACCCTCAATTTTCTCCCCCATCTTGTCTGGGCTCCGTACATCTCTTGATACACACACCCCCCACTCTTGTCTGCGACTGTTGTCATGGAAGTGCTACAGACGTCCAAGGGAATCTCCTTGCAAAATTGTGGGGGGTGCAAGAGTTGGGGTGGAGTTCGACTGGGGGTGTAGGTTCCCAGTGGGAATTCTCTCTTTGTAGTCTGCAGTGACGCCAAAACCTCTTGGGAAAGGCAATAAACTGGTGCCTCTTTGTGTTCTTCAGACTCCGGTTGTTGGTCAGCAGTGGCCTTTTAACCGAGTGCAGTGTATAGAGGTGACATCATCAACAGGTCTCCAAGGGTGCAGGACTGAGTAGTCTACAACAGCACTTGTTTTCTCTTTTTTGTTCTTTCCCAAGCTTGCTCAGTGTATTCTCCGACAATATGAACAGATTGGAAAAAGAGATCAATGACCTGAACATCCCTAATAATCTGTGCTGTAAGGCTGAGACCCAAAACTATGGAGAGAGAATAACTAATGGCCTTTTTGTATGTATGGTAAGTAAAGGCACTAGCTGCTCATTTGAGATCTTCACAAAACTGCAGTTAGGACTAACCTTATCCTAATACATAAAAAAATCAGTTTGTGCGATAAAGAAAACAATATCTTTTATATATATACATTTATTAAATGAACATAGGATAAAATGACTTTTTACACACTTCGAGGAGCTTTGTTGAAAATTAAAATGCACTAACTAAGCTAAATTAAAGTGGCCCTCCTGTTTGCATATCATTTATTTGAAAGTTTTAGGTTTCAAAGTATTCTTTGCAAAAATCCAATTAAAGAATATTTCATATTTGATTTTAAATACATTTTGCACTGGTTTATCAGAAATCCCAAAGTAAAAAATTGAATCAGCTGCTTGCGAGGAGTGAGGGAAGAGTGAATCTGTCTTGGAATAAATAACAGTGTAGTAAAAAGTAAATGTATAACTTAAGAATAATTATTCAGAAGAATGTAATTGCATCCAGAGACAATACCACATAGTAATAGACATTTACATGGCATTTGTTGTCAAGTGTGGGGCCTAATCTTAAAACTACTCTTTTGCTGTCTGTACTATAACATTTCATATTCTAAAAACAAGCTTGTCAAAAGTCAGACAAAACTCTGAAGGTAAGGGATCATTGAATTCAATTAAAAATCTGGTAAAATACCTCTACCATAACAGTGTAAATCTTGTGGTTATAGTGTGCCAGCGTTGGTGACTTTTTTATTTTCATCATTCTAAAGATAAATGAGACGAGGCAAGGGTGCCAAACAGTGAAAGCTGAAGATTTGAATTGTGAAAAATACAGAACGGCTTAACAGCGCACTCTAGTGTCTCACAAATAATTGTCATAACAATTAAACTACAACTACCTGTATGCACTAGTTCCCTACGTCATTTGTTACGTAATGGACAGCTCCCCGGATGCGGCTGTGATTGACTAGACCAGGCAAAAAAAAGGAAAAAAAGAAAAGAGATACCGAAAGCCAAGTGGCGGTAAGTCACAAAGTCCTTCAGATTTCACCACTACAAGAAATTGTTAACATTAAGGCATGTATTATAGTAAACTGACATTTTTTGAGTTACTATTGAAACGTTTTAGGGCGATAAACAGACCTTTTTAATTAGCGTTTTCAAATTAATTTTCGGCTTGTTTGCTAAGTCGCTAGCTTGTTAGCCACCAATGCGCTAGTTCCTTAGCTTAATGCTAGTCACAAGGGGAACGCCTAGTATAAAAAGTAAATTAAACTAACTTATCACACAAGGAAAGTTGCGTTTTAAGGTAGAACTATTCTTGGACCAGACTGACGACAACTTTCTGAATATTGTTAACTGAACAACTTTGAAACTATACCATCCCTATATAACGGTAATTAACTCTGCGCCGAAGCGCTAATTCAGGAATACAGGCGACGGTTAGCTTGGCTGCTAACTAGTTTCAGAGCTGTACTGTTGATGAAAGTGTTAGTTAAACCATGCAAGCACCTTTTTATCCTTATTGTAGTTAATTCTCACTCCCACTGGAAACGAAAGACTAAAAGCGTCTTCCCATCTTATTCTGGCACTAAAATACGCAATGCTGCATACATGAAGAGCTGTAATTAATATTTACTCAGGTTTTTTTTTGTCGTGTTTCTGTTCAGGTGCTACAGCCCCAGTGGTCGTTGGCAGGATGCAGACCATTAAGTGTGTGGTTGTGGGTGACGGGGCAGTGGGTAAAACCTGCTTACTCATCTCTTATACAACCAATGCCTTCCCCGAAGAGTACATTCCCACAGTGTTTGACAATTACAGTGCTCAAATGAGCGTGGATGGCCGCACTGTCAGCCTCAACTTGTGGGACACAGCAGGCCAAGAAGAGTATGACCGCCTGCGTACTCTCTCTTATCCTCAGACCAACGTTTTCATCATATGTTTCTCCATCGGCAGCCCATCCTCTCATGCCAATGTCAGGCACAAGTGGCACCCTGAGGTGTCTCATCACTGCCCCAACGTGCCCATTCTGCTTGTGGGCACTAAGAGAGACCTGAGAAGTGATGCAGAAACCGTGAAGAAGCTAAAGGAGCAGGGTCTGGCCCCCACCACGCAGCAGCAGGGCAACACCCTGGCCAAGCAGATCGGGGCTGTTAAATACATGGAGTGTTCTGCTTTGCTGCAGGATGGCGTCAGGGAGGTGTTTGCCGAAGCTGTGAGGGCAGTGTTGTATCCAGTCACGAAAAAGAATTCCAAGAAGTGTGTGCTGTTGTAATAAATGGTTCCCCGATTTGGACTATGGAGAGGGATGATGGAGATCGACCGATACCAAGGAAGGTTAAGGAACTAATCTTACCATCTGGTTACTTCCATGCAGTACCATTTTTGTGAGTGTCCAGCTCCTGTGTTTCTCCTTTCTTCCCTACTGATCTCCTGGAGGATCCCACTGTGTTGCCATGATCACCAAAGTGACTATGCCTAAATGAGGACAGTTGACTCTTCTCTCCTCTATTCTCCTTAAATTTTTAACTTTTGATATTTACACAATTTCAATTTTACATCTGTTCTTGATTTATAGCTTACCTGCTTCGCCTTATAAAGTGCTGATCATGGTTGCCACAAGCCATAACATCCAAACAAGCCAACCAACCAAGCTACCGTGTTTGACTGGAAAGAGGAGATCTGCCTTAGTTCAGGTGGAGAACTGATGACTACCTCATATTCTCACCTAGGTTGCATCTCATGAGTCTCAAGCAAAGATACTATTCAGATGCTTTGACTTGTCTGTTCAGATGTGAGCATCGATGTAGAGGGTGAACAAGTTTTAATTGAAGCAGCTTGGGTTCTGACTAGGTCAGATGACTCCTGCACAAATGCCAGTAACCCTTTACCAAATGCACAGATTAAAGGTTAAATTCCCTCACTGCTGTTCTGCTTGTACTCGCTGTGGTATGTTGGAACTGCAGAAGGGCTGCCCTACACTTTGACTGCTCTCCTCCCTGCATGGAAGAGCCAATGGGCCTTTGGAGATAAGCCTGACCCATTAAGAGCAACAGGCAATTCGCTCTCTTCAGCAATAGAGGAGCAGGTGTCATAAGGCATCTGCAGAATTTACCCATACTAGAAAAGATCATTCTTTTTGGGCCAGGGTAGTTAGGAAGTCAGATTGTAGTACAGCTCTCCTCTGTCTGTGTCTGAACTCCTGTGGCTCACTTTGAGTGCCATTAAAATCATGCCTAAGAATTCCTCCTTGATGGGGTAATGCCAAGGAGGTTTTGTCTATTAATGAATTTACTCTGTAAGTGATTTTTCTTAATCCTCAAATGTTTTTAACTTACACGTGCGGTTATGGCCAAAGTTGAATATATTTTTTGTAATAGCCTATGTTAATTTGATCAGTAAAATGTATTTGTACTGTTGTTGATGATCACATATGATAAACTAAAACTCCAGAATGCTTCCTTTGTCAATGATATTATTGTGTAAAGGTCAGCAGACAAAAACCACTGCATATTCAGTTCTCTGTAGCATATAATACCACAGTAAGTTTCAAATGGCTTGTGTTAGATGGCATTGTTCTTATTCTTTATTGTCTTGGTTAGGCCCGTGTCATTCCGTCTTAGCTGAAGCGTTGTCACAAAAGCCTTCTCAGCCCAAGTCACAGATGTATGTACATTAGAAAAGGAGTCTTTAATTGGGTCTGGTGCCTTATTTAAACCAAAGACTGTACCAGTATTCCTGCTTCATCTGTTCGGAGCACCGTGAGACATTTAAGTACTGGCCCAACCGAATCAGATTTATTTTTGTACTTTTTTTTTTTTTTCAAACGCTGTGCACTGCAGTAGCTGCCAGTGAATGCTCTGCTCTGGCAGCTTTTTTTTTTTTTTGTAAGACACAGGTGTCAAACTGACGTGTTGTGCTGCAAGTCTGTGCGTTTTGTTAAGCGGGGCTCCCGGGCCCACGGCGCTTAACAGATTGTGGTTTACATCCATGCTTTGCATGGTGCAGGGAGGGCGCGGCACCACTCACTAACAGTTTGTAGGCACTGCGTCGGTGGCACTTTGACAGATTGAAGGTTGTTTTGTTTTGTTTTTTGTTAAATTTTTAAAATATTTTTGTAACAAACGATTTGCTCATTTCTATTTCACAGCTACCAGCAATAATAGCAACCCTCTGATTGTAGTAATGTCATGTGTGCTCCTGGCCTTTGTAAGTCTCGAGTAAATAAAGCACAAAGTTATGTCTGACAGCAGTGATGTGGAAGAAGATCTGCATAAAGATGTGTGAAATTTCCCAAATGGTTGTGTAGAGGGTTGAATGTATGTGTGCGACATGTAAAATTGTCATCTGTGGTGAGCTTGTTTTTCTGTTTTTCTTTTTCTTTTTTTTTTTTGGAACGTCCCAATTTCACTCAGCGCTCTGAGTGGAAAATACACCTGTGGGCTCTCTGTGTCCTGGAGCTGTATGCAACCGTGTGTGTGTGGTACTACGCTTTTACACTGGGAACTTGATTTGTAGAAACCTCTTTGTAATTGTTTTATAAGTAACAAAAGCATATTTGTATAAATGAACTAACCGTGAAATGATTTTAAATTATGCCGAATAAAATGGTGCCTAAAACCAAATAGCTGTCTTGTTAACAAATGTTTCCCTTGATTAGGGAACTTGCTGCCTGTGAGTGCTATGCGAGCATCATGTGACAGCGTTGAGAAACTGATGGAAGAATAAAGTCATGCTGAGATGCAGGGAGAAACAGAAATAGTCATACTTTCACACGCAGCTGCTCATTTTCAGTTCCGGAAAACCACCATAAGTTCCTTCAGCATTCACACTCTCCTGTGCATTTCCTTTAATCTTCATGCTCAGGTCAGTTACAGCATCCAAACACTAGATGGAAACAACTCTCTAGAACGAACCTCATGATCCTTGACAAGTCAATCCACAAAGCCTTTTTTTGTTGTTTTTTTGTCTCTGTACATTTGCAATGAATGGCCTATGACCATCTGGCTTTAAGTGCCACCATTCAGCAAAACAAGACACCAGCCCATTCAATCCATTTCTGTGGCTGAAGTGGCTGCTGCTTACTGAAAAATTCCTTTGACCTTTATGGGTGGTGTCTGACAAATGACAGATGTATTGCGCTGTAGCAAAGCCTCATTATAGCATCAGTGCTGCAACAGTCAGAGCCCATTTCCTCTGTGGTCTGTCGGTAAACGCTCTACAGCGAGGACACTGCTGAGTGCGTGTTTGCAGCTGGGAGTTGCATCATTGCCCGTGTTGGTGTAGAATAACTTATAACATTAAACTACACCACGCACTGAGTTGTGAAAACCCCCACTCTGACTTGACTGATCAGTGTTAAAGCTAAACAAGATGAGAAAGGCTGAGCTGTTTCTGCTACCTGCTTAACGGGTACAGACAGATTATTGACACTGGGGTAAGTTAAGGTCGCCCATTTGTCTGTAAATATAACTGCAAAGTATGCACTTTTGTGCATTTTTCTGAAAAATGTTTTCAGTCTTTTTTTTGTAAAGTCACATTACAGATGTTCCCTGTTATTTGGATGCAAACATGTGGTTTCATGGCATTTAACTTAAAAGCTGTTTGGTCAAAAAGCTGTCAAAATCAAGCTTTTCAAATATAGACCAACTTACCCAGGCTGTGGATTGTTTTTTCTGCAGTTATACAATGGACTACACTCATATGGGTGTGTACACTCTGCAAATGATTTCCACTTTCTGCATAGCAGTTAGAAAAGGAGGAACCTGTTTTGCGTGACCATAAGAGATAGTGTTCCTGGTATTTTAGCTGAATAACTGTGCTGAATGGGCATTTAACAAAGCCTTCAAACCTAAAAGTAAACAGACCCACTCAGAGAAATTTGTTCTTATAGCATACTCAAACATTGGCCATATATGTAAGTGAATGATTATTTTTCAACTCTGAAACCTCTATATAGAAAGTTGGCATATCTATTTTAGGCCAACACCACTTGTGATTGTATTTCTCTTCAGGTGGTGTGAAGATTCCAAGCTGATTGACTTAAACCACGGTCATTGGTGTGTATGTGACACTATTGAAACAGCTCTCATTTTTTGAGGCATGGTCAGTCCCGTCCAACCCACTTGCACTCCAACAACTAAGCCTCTGCTTTTAGCTGCAGAAGAAGAAAAAAGCTGCTTCCTCTGGAAGCTTCATTTGAGGGGCGGGCCCATTATTGTATTCAAGTTTAGAACCTTTTGAAAACTGAATTCAAATTCAGCCTGTAAATGTATTTCTCTTTAATTAAACAAAAACATGCATCGATCCCTTATTTTTTAAATTTCTGTTATAAAAGTTGGTAATGCTGTGAATGTTGCAATGCCATACAAATAGGCTTTCAAATCCCAACTCAAACTGGGAAATAACAGTTATGCTAATCCAAATGCATATGATGCATTGATGAGCAATTTCAGAGAAAATTGATTTGTCCTTAAATCTCTTCAGAAATATTCTGTCACCAGTCACATTAACCCATGAATGTATAACCAGAGAATATGGTGATGTTGCTAGCTCTAAGTTTGCTATCTGGATCCTAATTTTTGTCTTTTTGGTGTTGTCCAGGGCGGTGGGTCATAAGTCCTGCCAGAGCTGCTAATACCTGTTTAAATAAACCTGTACATGGTACTTTAATGCATCCAGCGATAAAGGGGAAATAACAAACACAAAGCAAGGCATGGATTGTGTCTATTCATTCATCTATTCATACTGACCAGTTTGTATTAACTGATGAATGTTAAAATAAGTCTTTGTAATCAAAGGAAGCTGATTAAAGTTACAGTGGAGTAAAAAAGACTGCACTCACAATTCAAATATTCCATTAAGAAAAAGAAAAAACATTCCCATGAGGAATACTTGGAAATAAATGTTATGTTTTGTTTTTTTTACTCTTGTGAACTACGTCAAAGCAGGACATTACTGCTTAGCAGTGATAGAGGAAATAATGGAGGTATAATGTTGAAGTGTGCAATGAAACTGAGTCTCCCATTTATCAACTGCTACTCATTTTTTTAGCTCAGGAAACAACATTAAGTGCCATTAGCATGCATATTTCACTCTATGTACCTCTTTTCCTTTCATACTTACGTTGTGTCAGTTACCAGGCCTGAACACTAGATGGACACAGCTCTCCAGCCCATCTTCGGCATATGCTCATGAATAAGTGTCCTTCTTCAAAGCCTGCTATTCCTTTTTTCCCTCTGCCCGTTTGGAGTTAATGATCTATATCCATCTGACCATAAGAGCCATCATTCACCTTAACAGACATCAACATGTTCAGTGAGCTCCTGATAAATTCTGCATGCCGCTGCTCACTCTGAAAAATTCCTTTGACCTTTATGATTGCTGTTCTGATAAATCACACGTATTGAACTCTACCAAATGCTTGTGATAGCATCACTGCATTTCTGGCTCGTTTCCTCCGTGGTGTGTTGATGAATGCTGCTCGCAGAGGAACACTATAAGTGTGTGTTTGCAGCCTGTAGAGGCTGTGAGTACCTTTGTTGGTGCGGGATCAGTTATTTCAGTGAACTTTGTCAGGGCTGGGCCGTGAAAACCTCCACTTTGAGAGGTGTTATAGCTAAACAAGATGAGAAAGGATGAGCTGTTTCTCCAATACACTTAACACAGTCAGTTGACGCCATCCATTACGGTCATCTATTTGTCTTTTAGTGGCCTGCAAAGTAGGTGGTTGCATGGAGGCTAGCTTTTCAGATATATCAGCCATTTAAAATCTTGCTCTTTGTATGAGACATAGTCATTTCAGTGTTAATATCAGTAGCTGTGTGAGTTCTACAAACATGTTAAATGACCTGAAAAGACCTGGTCTGTAAGTTGTAGGTGGTTGAGACAATACTATACAGGAAACTATGAGAGTCATAACTAAAATTAGGTCTCAAATATGATAATATACTCTCTCACACATATAACTAAACTGTTGGTGTAAACTGATGGGATTACATCTAATTTGAGTGTCCTATTTGGACAGGCTGTGAATTTAGAGTAAAAACAAACTCAGTTTTAGAGACTGAAAATAACCCATGGCACTGCTGCTTTAAATTTTTGGTTATTTATAAGATTAAAGAACAGCTAAAATGATCAAGGCCTTCATTTTGTCAGTGAGAGTGCCTTTTAAAGTAATTTCTGTGGGGAAAATTTTAAACATGCATGGCAAGCACAAGTTATTACCAGCTCACAGTTGGGTTCTTCCCTCACAAAACAAAGTTCTTTGCACCATCTAGTGCCTGCAGGCTGACATCCCATGGCCTTTCAACGGGACGTGAGCACTGTGGAGCAGAGTTATTTCTCAGCATTTCATTCTTTCTTTTCTCCATTATTATTTTTTGTATCTCAAAATGACAAAAGTCAGTGAAAACACCTGGTCCGTGTGTTTAAACAAAAGCCGGATCCAGTTGAGAAACATTAGAGACAAGCAAAGGTGAGAGAGAGTGTTTAGTTAAAGCACAACTGACAGAATACAGACACCACGATCATGAACCTGTTTCCAGAACCAGGCCTCTGTGGCGTCAGATTCATTTTTTTTGATACTTTTTCTGGTCCTTTGTTTTATGTTTTATGGGCTGAGTTACAGGAAAGCAGGCCTAAGCATTCCAACAAGCTGGTATCCAAAACAAAGACTGCACTGGGGGAGTTCAGAACAGGGAAAAGGTAACTGAGAGGTAGCGGAACACCACTAACAGTGACATTCTCCGAGGGATATGGCCGCGCACAACTCAAACACTGTATATAAATTGGAAAAAAGCTAAATGTCACAATAGAAGCACAACTGAAGGGCCTTACATTTACTTATTCAGATGTAAATACTTGCACTATGTTTTCTAAAATACCATTTTAAACAGATTACACTGACAGAAACTATACTGACTGATGGACACTACTGCAAACAGTGGACCAACAAACTGATGTGTGGTGGCCAGACCAGGATCAGGCAGGGTTCCAGTCCACCTGAATCAACAGACAAATTCCAGCGTGTTCTGTAAGCCTCCAGGTATTTGCATCACATTGTATTACCTGTTTCCTCCAACTGCAAGAAGCCAAACCACTCCATTTCAGCGCGTGTACAGGTGACTACGCCTGCGTGATGGGAGAAGGTCCGGGGGAGGATGTGGAGGAGTTGCTATGGTGTAATGTTTCATTAACAGCTGACAACACAGGCAGTCAGGATGACTGACTGAAACACCGGCCCTTGACTGGTGTGTGGTGGTTTTGTGGAGGTTAAACACTAAGATCCACATTACCCAATGAGTGAGGAGGAAATGTGCTATAATCCAATTGGTCGCACTGTTATTCAACTGATTTGACTCACTGTTCTTTTGGTAAAATGATAAAAACGTGGATTGAATAAATTGTATCCAACGAATGTGTGTTAATTTCATAAGGGGTTGTGTTTAAAGGCACAGCACAGCACCTGGAGAAAACCAGCTTCATGGCCTAACAGAACAGAATGGGCCTGGTCCTGCTCTCAGCCAAGCAAGACGCTGCAAAATGCTTGGAGACGTGCTGTGACTTTATCTCACATACCACAGCCCCTGTAGGAGACAATCACTAGATCAATGTCTGCTCTATTAAATCAACTTGCTGGAAAACACAGTAGTGGACGACAATTTCTCTTTTAGAGACTTGGTGTGGTGAAGATAAAGTAAGTTCACTTTTTTCCTTTTCTAGTCTCTTCAGCTGTTGCAGCATCTCCCATTTCTGCTGCAGAGCGGCGTGCAGACTCGTGAAGAGATTAAATGTAACCGCTATAACAAAGACTGATAGACCATGAAATACCACCCGATAACTGTGTTGACGATTTCACATCTGACATCATCACCTCTGCTTAAAAATGCACCCTGTACGATGAGTGAATGAGATAGACAGTTAACATAGATATTTTTCGTTTTCTTCTTCATCTTTAATGAAGAAATTGTAATGAACTATCCCGTGTTCAGTCATGACTCAGTCCTTTTTCCCCCCATTAATGACATAGATAAAAATGAATTAGAGAAGATTTGGGGGTTAATACTTTGAGCCCACATTGTGCACTCTTAGCTGCTCTCAGTGCAAGTTTATCCTTCTCTTTTCAAAAACATAACAAATCCCTGAAAGCAATCAATATCCAACATGCTCTCACTTCCCCCCCCAGTGTGTGTGCAAGGCATATGCTGCCATTTAGATATTTTTGAAAAGATTAGCACCTAATGCTTGCATCAGGGTTTCTCACTGTAAAGAACCACGAATGTTTTTCCACTCTAGATTGCTTTGTAAAAAAGCTGAATGTAGCTGTGAAGTAACCCTCGACTGTTCAAGATGAAATCATCTGCGATTAAAAGCGAACATGCTCTCGTAGCACTCCGTGCTGCAATTAATGGGTCCAAATGACTTCAAATTGAATGAGTCGTGCTGTTAGTGATGTAAGCGCAGATGTTTTTCCCTCTGTATAATAACATGGAACCTCCTGTTTTTGAATATAGGAGCGAGAGGTGAAAGTTTCTCTGTGTACCGTCTCTGCCTTTTTACAGAAATGTGCTGTTGAGGGTGGGCCGACCAACAGATATCCTTTCTATGAATCATCTGTGTGCAGTGAGTGGGAGTGATGGCCTCTGTTGGGACCTTGATCTCAGCTCTATCTATCTATCATGTTCCTCTGCTGCCTCTCGCACTCCTTTTGATGATGCTCGGAGTAAGGCCAGAAAAGCCAGGCTGTACTGTTCAGTCATGGACTGGAGAGATTCCTCTTCTTCTCCTTGTCTAAAGATAAAAAGACCCAATCTAATAGACAGCCTGCAGCTAGAGTGAGACCGAGAAAGCTGTAGTTCTGCATTCAAATGAAACCCTCTCCCTCCCCTGGAACAGCAGAGGGAGAGGGAAAATGAGATTGGAAAGGAACACAGAGAGGAGAGAGAAGGCTGATGGCTGTGTTCGCAACAAAATAGGAATATGAGTGCAGGGAGAAAGTGTCGTGCTGTGACTGTGATGGAAGGACAGGAAATAAACATAATAACAACTGGCAAAAGAAGAATTTGGTTGGCTAGTTTGGACTGTAAATCTTACCGGAGGGGGTGGGCTAAAGGTAGGCAGATGGACAAACAAAAGAGTGGCGCGACTCAAAACTTTCCCTCATGAGACACATAAGTCACATGATATTTTTATAAATACTGCTTATTCACTTTCGTGCAAAGAGTAGTTTGACTGCAGTTTAAGCTTTGTCTGGGAAATGTGGGACGAGATTTTGCATGGAGGATGGATTGAGTGCAATCAAGAGCAGGTGCCCACAGCCCAGAAGTCCACAACAATTCTCATTCACACTTTGATTTGACAAGCCAGAACATGTTGATCCATGAGAGGCGATATTGGCCGCACCCACACTTGCTGCTCAGCAGTATTTTGTAATAATGTTGAACACTTATTGAAAATAGTTGTTTTTGTTAGATTCTTTTCCACCAGTGTCCTCAGACAATATATAAAGCAGCCAAAATGAAGGCCTGTAGGCGTTTAGCTGTTATGAGAGAGTAAAGACAGGAGAGAACAGAGGAATTAAACAGAAAGAGGAAGATCCACTCAAGTATTAATTATGTTGGTTTGCCGCGTGGACGT